ATTTATATCTTCAAAAAAATTAAGACCAGAAGATGAAAACAGAAAACAATGAAGAAATGACATCTACGTCGAAATATCATCATATTAATTATTATACATATTTTATACAATCCGTATAAATTAAAATAAAAAATAAAAACTTGTGTATATAATGTAAAATAAAAACATATGTATCAAAAATTAAGATTTACAACTTATAAGTGCATATTCACACACGCTGCAGTATGCATATGTAAACAATTCAATTTAATAACAATTTCAAGAAAATTTTAATGAACCGGAACCGGAAAAATTGTAATTTGCGCAATATCGGTATTTTTGTTAGCTAGAAAAACGAAATCGAAACCGGAAACCTTTATTAAGTATTTTAATGAACCGAAACCGGAGCCAAACCGATATATTTTCGTCCAGTCCGGGTTCTTGATTGTTAGTACCCAAAAAAATTAATTTCAAAAGTATCTATTTTCGGCGAAACCAAAAAAAGTGTCTCTCTGCGATTGATGCTCCCAAAAAGAGCGAGCGGTACGACGATTTGTCAACATAAACATATCTCGTAAAACGCGAAAAACCGGTTACAAGTCGCGTGCATCCGCAGAAGCGGCTGTAAAACGGACGGGCGTTGATCTTTAGCGGATTATTTTTAATGAAAACTTTAAGCGGAAAGAACGATCATTCGAGTAACCCCCTTGGAAACGACCGCTAAACTCGCTGCTCGTTCCGCAAAGGCAATAGATCCGAACTGCGTCGGTGCGCACGACCGGAAGACTTATTTGCATGCCGGGTAACGTAACTGCGGCAGGCAAACGGAATATACTCGCCATTCATATGCATATACGGGACCAGCACCTTATCGCGCTTTGCCAATTAACCACCGGCTCACACTACCCACCATCTCTTAACCGGCGATCCGCCGGTAACCCTCCCCCATATCGCTTCGACAAACGGCAAAAATTCGTCGGTAGTTTCGCGAAATCGACACCGAAGTTATCTCGGTTCTTAAACACGCATTGCCTTGCCTGAATATGTATGAGGTGATCACGAAGGGACGAAGTTTAAAAGCATGGGATACCTTTGCAATTATTAATTGTGCCGTTTAAAACCCCCGCTATTCGAGAGCTCAGATTTAAATAGTAGCGAGAAAACGCCAGGCACTTGCCTCTGATGCGGTAATATTGACGCGATAATTATAAACTGCCATTATAATCATCGTCGCAATTGCCTGATAAAATTTCTACCCGGGAATCATTATCTTATGTAGTAGGAAAAAAGACAGACGCGGAGTCTTCTCCTCCGCGCCCTACACTTATGTAAACATATCATGCGATATATAAAAGATAATTTGTCACTTACAGGTACGATGCGCAACAGCGGAGTTATAACTGCATCGTAGCTACGTTGATCTGTAAAATAAAAAAATATCCAAGTTATTACGCAAGCGTTTAAAGTAATTATTATTTTAACAAGGAGATTATTGTATATTATATATATATATATATATAATGCACATTTTGAATTCTTTTATTCATTTTTGAATAGATATTTATTAAAGTAATTATGTAACTGCTATAAAAAAGTTATTTTTAATTATAGGAACGATATAAAATTTTATAAATTAAAAATTTATTTCTCATAAATATAAGAATCATATTAATTTTGATACTTAAAAAAATCTATAAAATAATTCTATAAAATATAATATCAAAGATATTTCACAAAAATAAATGATTAATTCCATGCAAGAGAGTATATCAAATGTTAAATAAAATAAAATATTACTCACCCCAGAGTTGCTCCGGCGTTGCCTGATGCCCTTCCCGGGCCTGCTCCTCCTCTCAGAATCCTTTGAAACCCATCATCGCCGATGCTTTGCACGGCACTCCTAAAATCAATTAAGTAAGATGCGATGAATGTGAATTGTCGCGACTTGACTTTTTGCGAATTCAAACATTAAAAATACGACCGTCGGCTCAACAGGCGTTAAAAATCCGTTAAAAAATTCCTCGTTATTCCCTCTCGTACACTCTACCGGCAGGAATGCCTGGACATAATACATATACATATCAAAATGTCCAGACATTCCTGCCGGATGCTGGTCAGTGTACATTCGCGCTTTTTCACGCCGATAATCGCACAGTGTCGGCTAGCAGAAGTGAGGTTAATGGTCGCGCGACACTTTGCACGGAACAACTCGGAGGAACTACCCTACGTAGACATTACCTTACTATTATCGTCCGCGTCTCCCACTCTCGCGATGTCTCGCGAATTCGCACGGTATGCAGTCCAATGCAGTCGGCGTTGATCGCGACGTCGTGAATCCACAGGAGATAGCGGAGTACGGAGTAGCGGAGAGCCGTGAGCCGTGAGGGTGGGAGGCGGGGAGAGACGAGGAGCGTTCGGAAATCGCGCGGCCAACTTCATGTCGACGCGTCGCGGCGATGCGGACTGACGCGGACGCTACATCTGACGACGTTACCGCTGACTCCAATTCAAAAAATTACTGACGGTTAAAGCAATACACGCACTTCGGAGCGACGACTTATCACGACAAAAGGGACGCGCGAATACGAATTGCGAATAAATCGCGCCGCGCGATATCCGGAAATGCGAAATGCGATCGGTCGCTACGTCGCGAAGGATCTCGCCCGGCGAACGAACCTCGATCGTTCGAGCACACGTACCTCGCGCAATGCGCGATTTCAGAGATCACCTGGCACGCCGCGAGTTCGTGCCGCGCAAGATAACGTATCTGAGAGAACACGGGTCTATTCGCTGTATACGTACGTCTGTAATTATGACCGTTACTCACCAATAAACGCGTTGCGACGTTCACGCAACTCGGAGCTCCGGAGCGATCCGTCTCACCTCACCGCCGCGCCGCGGCGCCGCGCCGGCCGGACGAAAATGGCGGCGGCACTTCACTCGCGATCCCGCGCGATACCGCGCGACCCTACGCGAGTCAACTTCACACCTGATCGAAACGCCGACGGACCGTTTAAAAATATAAAATCGACGCGCGGCACTGCAAACACGCGCGATACATTTCGTATTCCGTAAATCCCGTCGAACATATGCGATATTAATGGACACTCGATATATCTCACTGGCTTTCTGCTTTAAATCGCGTTATTCGGAAATTCGATAAATCCGCACTTCACACACCACACTGCTACCATCGCGCTTTCGATCCAAAAATCACAGAGTTCACAGAGAGCATAATGTACGAAGCTCGATACTAGATACGTCTTGTATTGCCACTTGATCGTTAACGAGGATAACTGTCAGCCTTAAACTGTCGCCACGAGACGATAATTTGCACTTCTCAATCGGCGTCGTTTCATATATCGATCGTCGATGCTCCTTCAACAATGAATAAGTCGAGCGCGCGATGATACACCTGCGTGGGGAGCGGACCGCGGCGCCTCGATAACACGAGTGGTGAGAGTGGGGGTAGGGTGATTAGGCACGCGGCGCGAGTTGTTTACGCAGGAGCTTGCGACCGTTAACAGCCGTACGTTTAAACGTGCCTGCCGGCCGGCCGGCTCGGAGCAAATATTTTTTAAGTATACGCGATTGATAAAGACAAACGCGCGGTACGCGGAAAGCCGACGCGACGCCGCGACGTCGCGATTGTACGTATCTTCTCGTGCTAAGCGGATATGTTTCAATCTCGTATCGAGTGCCACTGTGAGTGAACGATTGCTGTAACAATTAGCGCGCGTAATCAACGGGTGTCTCTTCTACGATACTCTACGCCGCGACGTCCGAGCTTCCTTCATCCATTCACGAGAGAGTGTGAAATATCGATTGATCGGGTAACCAGCGATACATGATATATTATATATCGCACCTTTTAGCTGCGAGCGCAACGTTACACGTGTCGAGCATTGAGAGTATTGAGACGTTACAAAAGCAAGTAAAATAAATTGAGTGAATAAAGTATCTCGCGCTGTGTTAATTTATGATATTATTTTATGTTTATTAATGCAGAAATATTAATATGGAAATCAGAAGAGCACGCTGTAATTGTACAATTACGAATCGTTTAAATGAGATTTATTCGAATATTGTCATTAAATACTATCTACGTATTTCTGTTCCATTTTATCAATATTTTTAAAAATTAAAAAATTATAAAGATTTCTTATAAATATTATGTTTCTTGTATTGTCAAAGAATAATCTTTAAAAATTTTTTCAAGTTCTTAATTATGCGACAAATATATATATATATATATATATATATATATATATATATATTTGTAATATTCTAATATTAATAATATCAAAAAATTCCACTTTCTAATAAAATATAAAATATACTTATTTCGAAAGAAAATTTAATATTTGGCACGTCAAAACGAATTAAATTCATATCTCATCTCAACAAGTATGCAAATGCATTCTTGTTTCCATGAAGCATTCTCTGTAACTTCGCGGAAAATAAGTTTGACACAGCTACCGAGTCCACCTGAAGTTGGACATCAGATAACGCTGTTATAAAGGCCAAACTTTGGCTATCTAGAGTTTCTTTGGTGATATTGTAGAACGAAATTACAGGACATCGAATTTTCTCGTTTGAAGTATGATTAACACCGGGAGCAATTAAGTTTAAGCTGTGAGCTCGAACAAGAGATGAGAAATGAAATGAATGCGTCTTGCATAAGTTGCAAAATTTTTGCCAAGATAGTCTGAAATATTCTGTCAATGTCCAAGTTTTTAGCCATTCTCTTCACAAAGAATCGCGTCGCAACGCTTTGTCTTTTCGGGAAAACCACGAGCGCGTCCGTGTGAAACAATTTTATCGGGGAAGTGTTTGATAGGAGTTTTCGCGCGCGAAATATATTCCGTGTCGCACACGCGTAAAGAATGTGTATTCCGCCGGAATAAGTTTATCCAACTGTTTTACACCGGCATGTCATGTTTAGCTTAAGAAGTTTAAAGGGTGGAAAAGTCACGGGCGACGTGTACGCGCATATATCGATCGATATCGTTTCTTTCCAGGCACAACGACCTACCCTGGAACATACGGAAGTTCCTGAAGAACCAGCTGAGGGAGTTCAGGTTTGATGACCTAAGTGGTATTCATCCCTGGTCACGGAGCGCTTGGAGCCACACAGATCTCAAGAGATTGAGGCAGGGCATGGTTGCAGCGCAGGTGAGTTTAATAATAACGCTAGCAACAAGAGTTCGTCAAAGTTATTGTTGCGGCTGCAGTTCGCTCGATCTATCGCGTGACTGATTGAACGTGCGGAAAATATTCCGTTGAATAACGCGCAGGTTCGTCAACGATTAATTGCTGTCGATATTTACCTACATAGAGCCCGAATGGCTCAATTTTTAAAAGTAAAATCTAATAATTCGTTGAATGACCTGACTTTTACAGAGATACTTCACGAAAATGAATAAGAATACCCCCCCGTAAAACTCTTAAGAAGATTATTGGAAAGCTGCTTATCAAACGTGATTTCTTGAATAACATTAACTACTTGATCAGGTTTTCATTGCTTTAATTATATACGTATTAGGCTCATGAGTGTTTTTATTGTTTTTTAATATTGTGTTTTCATATTAAGGATTTTGCATAAAACGTATAAAAAATAGATTATGATTATTTATTGCTCGTTAGGGAAAATGCACATCGTGCTGCCACGGGAGATAATCAAATGAAAAAAGATAACGTTGTTGCGGATTAATCTAAATTTCTCTCTCGGTTTTCGAAAACAGACTGGCAATTAGTCGAGCTTAACATGCGATTTTCGCCAACTTCGTCGCAGCTCGCGAGTGAAAATTAAATCCACGCGAATGAGGGAATCGCATGTCACCTTGAAGCCACAGTACCGCCAAATTGCAATTAAATGTTCGCACGTAGAACTCGACCTGCAGAGTCATCGACAATTATAACTAATTTAAAGTCGCGTTAATCCAGTCTGATTTAAATTCAAGCGGTTGCCGACTCACAGAATCGCATGCAGTTACTCGTTCATCAATATTGTTACGAAATGTTCGGCGTATCCTAAAGCCTGTTTTGTTCGTGGCAAGCGGGAATTATTAATTTATAGCGTGCCGTGTACGTAACTCAGCTATAAATCAAACAGCAGCGGTGCCGCGCCTAATAGCAATTAATCGATTTTACGAAGATTTCACGCCTACGTTAAACATGAATGTGATGATGCTCGCGACATCGGAGCGTCAAAACGCGTTGTGTGAATTTCGTGATTTCTATCACAACAGTAATAATTTAAAATTTTGCGTTACGTGACGTTTCCTCGCAGAGAGGAATACATGCCACAAAATGTACGTGTCATAGAAAAGAAAAAAGGCTGTATATCGAGCGTATTACAGTAATAGAAAAATTAATTATCATCCGTGTTACATCGTGCGGAACAACCTCGTGAACGAAATTTGCCGACTAACGCGGACACCCGAAATTATCCAGCAGATCCGATCTTCCGTGAACCGTGAATTTAACGAATATAAATTTGATCTTTCCGATCGCGCAGTTAAAGCTTTCACGCGCGACGCTTCCGCCGGGCGATCGTTAATAACGGGGATTAATCTAAAATCGCAATTAAGATCTGACCGTAAAAAATCGCCTCTCGGTTCAATTAACGGCGGGAACGGCTCTTTAACGACCCGAGGAAAATCGAGGCGAACTTGGGCAATTAATTTCCTTCGGTTGCCCGCCGTGCTTCACGTGCCGCCGAAAATTTACCACGACACGATCGGTTTCCTCCCCCCTCTACCCCGAAATACCTTCGATTAATCCCGCGAAAATCCCTTTCCGAGTGGCTCGGTATCGTATCGAATAAACTTCGGCATAGCGCGCGAAACTTTGCACGAAGTCGGAATATCTACCGAGCATTGACTCCCAAACCACATCCGGGGTAGCCTAAAGTGTTCGTTAGAAGTAAGAGAGCTAAAGTAGGAAAACAGCAAAAGTAGCAAAAGTAAAATTTTGATATACTCTGATAACACGTATTTAAAGGCAATTTTTCCCGAAAAAAAAATAAAAATATGCAAGTAGTCAAAGAACATAAAAGATTTACGTATCGATTAGAATTAAATATTGCTCAAAAATTAAAATACGCTGTAAATAACACGAATACTCGAGACCGTCCCGATTGGTGCTATGTACATTCCTTTATATAAAGATTTTCTTCAACTTCAAATGTTCTCATTATCAAAAATTACTTCCCTTTGTGCGTCGTAAGCTTATTGCATTTAAAGTAACTCTCAAAGGAGAGCAAAGGCTGCGTGGAGAATTTATTTACGGTACTTGAAGCGCTCGCACAGAACGTGCCTCTGAAGACGCAAAGTGCATAGTCGAGAGTTAACGTAGAAGGGAAAGATAAAGACGCGTATATACAGTCGCGGTGTGCACGCAAAGTAGTCCGGCGAAAAGTTTTGGGACGCGTGCAGATAAAGATATTCCTCGAAAACGTGTTTGAACGTTGAACCTGACGTGCTGCGCATGTAGGTCGTCATACATAGCCCGTGGTCCATTCGAACGAGAATCTTGGCTCGTGTTAAATAAGTGATGTGACTCACAATCAGTAATAGCGTGGTATACCGGTCATAGACTCTATACGATACAGCGCGCGAATCCATTTAAGAGCCCGATATCGGACGGCCTGGTCGGCGAGAACGAAGCGTGGCCCGTATACGCGCACGTTCCACACTATACATTCTTAAATGCATTGAATCTCGGATTAAATCGGAAGGAGGATTACGGGAGGATTTCGGTCTCGCGAATGCCGATATTCATTTTCGAGGTGCCGCGTGTGCGTCCCTCCCCGCCTCCCCGCCTCCTCTCTTTTCCGGTAAATCCACGTTTTTTCAAACGGGGATTTGAGGCACACGCGCGTGCGGAAATCGTTAAAACGCATTACGAATTAACGAGACTGTTACTCGCGCTGGAGATAAGTAAATAATACATCGCCGGAGATTACACCGACGTGAAACTTTTAGTTACGATGGAATCTGTAACCGCGACGGGATGCAGAAATCGAGCGTTCCCGACGTTGGCGTCGCGTCGAATGAAAGCGTAATGTCGAAGATCGCCCGATGTATTCCTACGTCGCCTCGGTGGTGGGAAGGAAATTTCTCAAGAGACCTTTGAAAATACCATCGTTCTCGTTAGCAAAGACAGTCTCGGGGTGATCCCAGCTATTAAGCGTCCCATTTCCAGACCCATTTATGGTGAGCGAGATACGGTGGGTCGCGATAAAGGGGTTGCCGTGATTCGAAAAGTCGTGGAGGCACAACGTGGAATAAGGCATCTTTGAAAAGGATCGAGGGTCTTAGTCGTTCACCTTAATGTTAAGGTATCCGCTTACCTTTTAGTACACGAGACGGGGGAGAAGCCAAATGAGCATCCACCGAGCTAACGAGAAGACGTGTAAATGCGCGCCATTTACTGTAGCAGGGTAATGAAATCATTAATGTTATTAAATGGAATATTAATTCGACGCATAATGAGTGGAGATGCTAGTAAAACGCATCATGTTTACCATGCGCGCGCCAACATACCGCCGCGCGTTACGAGCAATTTTTCATAATTAATGCCAATCTGCGATCGCGAGGTTTGCGAGTAATAACGAGGAAAAATTACGGGGATGATAGCTCAGCGCAACAATGCCCGGATAATTACGCGAAAACTTTTTCATAGATATCATATTTTTATGCGAAACAATTAATAACGCAATTAAAATTGGAATGCGGGGTAACGCGAGAATTTTGTAATTATACTATATAGGAGGCACGTAACGTGAGATATCGCATAGAACGTCATTAATAATAATAGAAGCATGCGCGATCGCATTTGTGCTGTCCAATCACATTTATACTTTGACTTTCGTTCAATTTGATTAATAACCGAAATTTTATTAACAATATAATTTAAAAAATTTTTCTGATTATCCTAATACAATCTTACATTGAAACTTACAAAGCGGAACCTTTGTGGCGATCGTATAGAGTCTGCATCTCGGATTATGTTCCGACCTCGACAGATCCCTTAAGATATCCAGCCTGCCAACATCAGGACGAAAGGGATAACCACTCGGTTATGTCCATTGGGACGAAGGCGCGTACACATTCATGTAACATGTACATAACGCGTACACCGAGTGTATACGGCAGCCAAACCGAGGCTGCCGCCTCGATCTATCACTGTCCTGGTTAATTCAGACGAGCTGGCAGTAGCCACAACGGAAGGTTACTCGCCATTGATCGCGTGCCGTCGACTTGCATAGAATCTTACATGGCATCGTGGCGTGAACGAGATTTTTCATCCCTTTGTACGATCACTTTTTCGACCAAACGCGCGACAGAGTACAGAGATTAATTTTGCTACTACAATATTAAAATTTCACTATTAGATAATACTCGAGATTTGTTAATTCTTGTATGCAGCATTTTTCCAACATTTTTCAAGAAAGATCCTATTTATTTGGAAAGACCATTTCTCTTGTATAAATAAGGAAAAGAATGAAAACATCTCACTACATCTCCTCACGCATAGTACACTGACGCATCGCAGAATGCGAAGAATACGCGTGACAAATACTTTCGTTTGAACCCCCGGGCTGTCTATCTCGAGAAACCTTCGGCACTTCCGGTACATCACAAAACGCGAAAGTGCATTCCAACTTGAGATGAGACGAGGCTCTCCGATTTATCGCGTCGGTGGATTCTCGGTGGGAATTTGCGTTACACTTTCGGTGACTTCGTTGCGAGAGAAGCAATTCGTACGAACGGGAGGAAATTTAAATCTCGCATGGTTGTTTCGGAATTTTAGGTACGAGAAGAGAGACCGATGGAAGATGAAACGCCAACGGCGAAACACAAATTCCATTTTCTCTTTTTTTTTTTTTTTCATATAACTGCGACCAAATTAAATTTCCATTATTGTCACGATCTCTCCTTATATATTTTCACATCCAATAACTGAACGAACGGCAATAAAAATGCAATTGTCTCATGCGTATCAATTGGATATTTGAACACGATAAATTTTTATAGCCAATTTTCGCTTCAAATTTCGTTAGTACTATTATCTTATGTCATGTCCAAAAAGCACGAGTAATAGTGATTGTTCAAGCGAACAGCTTATGCGCCAATCGCTCGCATATTAAAACCATTATTATTAAAGTGCAAACGTTTTGTCATTCAATCTATCTCGAATCCCCACAGATTGGTCAATCGTTAATTCCTTACAAGTATCATTTCATATTTATCAAAATACTTTAGTATAGTTAGTATTATAGTATTATTAATTGATGTATTTTGTAATAAAGGCTAACAAGCACTTTGAATTATTTATATATGATAAAAGTTTCGTATTATTTTTAATATTATTTTAAACCAGGAATTCTTAAAGATTTTGTAAGCTTGTAATTTTTTAAAAGTCTGAAAATTTTTAGACATTTTGAAATTTTTAGGAATTTTAAAACATATTAGACATGTGTGAAAAATTGTACTGTTTTATAGTTTATGTTTTTTATTAAAGATGATAAGAATGTGCAATAATATCAGATTTGAATAAAGTTATGGTTTATATAATTTAATCACAACAGTAATTAATCACATTTATAGTAAATGGTATTTTTTACTCAGATGTTGGTATAATTTTTACCGTTTATCGAAGTTTTTAGTATTGAAAACTTCCAAATTTCAAAAATTTTTAACAATTTTGACATATTTGATATAAAAACCATTAAATTGCTCAAAAAGCTTTCGAGATTTTTTAGCATTTATAGAGTTTTAAGTTCTACAATAAACATTTAAAAACTTATGGAATAAGAATAATGTACAATCATGTTTTAATACTTTGAGAAATGGAAGTAAGCGACACCACCCTTACAGAAATTTATTACTGTATAAGTGATTATTTGGCTAGTGATTAATTACTTATTTTGAGTATTAAAAACTGTGCTTTTAATATTTAAAATAAGTAATTAATCACTAGCCAAATAATCACAGTACTAAATTTCTGTAACGGTATAACACGACACGTTTAAAATTTATACGACGCCAAATGTGAGAATTAAAGTAACGCGATGAAAAAGAAAGCAATTTTTTAAATCGACTTTCATGCGCGGTCCTTCGCGAAGTGGTCTGCCCGGAGTAAGTTAAAACGGCCGTCTTAATAGCCAACTCGCCATACAGCCATCGTAATATACAGCCACAAAATTGCTAAAACGTACATAAGAGAGACGGCCCTTACAGTTCGCCTTTAAGTGGAATCGCAGACGCGACATATGTTCTATACACCGAGAGGAGAGTATTTTTACGAACGTCTGACCTAAAACTCGCCGTGACTACTGCTCGTTCTTGTGCGAGGCTGAACTGGAGGTGCGGAAGGGAAACGTATACATACGTACACACGCGCGCACATGTTCTGCGAACGTCTGACCTAAAATGCTGCGGTAACCGCTTCCTTACAGTGTCCAAAGAATGGAAGATGAAAGGTGATTGTGCTAATACAGATGTCAGTAATATTCCGCTTAATATCCCTGCATTTTCTCCGATGCAAGATTAGCTCTGTTCTTATAGTCTTGTAAAATCACGTTTCTTCCACCGTGACGTTTGAAATTAAGATTTCGCGTTTAAAATTGAGATTGCTGATAACGCGACTGCGAATCCGGAACGGAACGGTGTCCGTTTGTATATATGAACATATCTTCTGTCCCATATAAAAAGTAAGAAAATTATAATATCAGGCATTAATATCAGTTAATATTTTGTCCATTACTAAACAACTCCAAGGATAATGCTCAAATAGACACCATTGAGAATTCCAAGTCTTTTCTTTTTCGATTAAAGCGCCGCAAGTAGTTATTTAGCTATATGTATATGAAGGCAATTAGAAGTTAGAGTTAGAAGCTCCCGTCTTGCTCCCGTTTCTGTTTGGCGCACCGACATTAAACTGAGCGAGCGTAGGCTGAACTTTCCGCTGTCGTTGAATTATTTACTCGTCGCAATTAGCCGTCTCGCGGAAGAAAGTCGCGGAAGTATTCGAAACACAGACGTCTCGAATGTAATTACGACCGCTGGCATCGCGCGCGATTAAAGCCCGTCACTATTAGCGGGCGTTGCGACTCGCGAGAGTGTAATTTCTGTCGGCGGCAGACGTCGAAGCGGGACCGGGGGATGAGCACGAAGAAAAACCGGAAGAGCTCTCGCGCCTTCTCGTGTACGTTGATTTACGGCACCGCGACGGTAACCTCACGCTTCGGACATAAATTTCGTCCGCGTTGTTAAATAAAACTTCCCGCCGACGACGCGCGATGCGCGCACTTGTGCATAATGCGGAAAATTCGCGGCAAAGTAAGACACCTCGGCCTCGGTTCCGACCGGGCGCAAGAACTTAATGTTTCTCATTTCCAAGTTCCGACGGTGTCGTCTGACGGGACATCAGCCAGCGGTCTCTTGATAAGAATTTATTAACTTCGCTTAATCGCGTTTTCTCGTTTTCTTCGAGAAAAATATGTGTACGGACATAGTGAAGCACACGAAAGGCAAGGAAAGAAATCTAATCACCGGGTTGTTTAACTACAAATGATAAACGTCTAAAATATGCGCATAAATTCCCTAATGTCAAACGGATGTCGTAACGAGTAGGAGAAACTAATTGTATCGCCGTACACGACGATCTCGCGTGACGGGAGAAAACAGAAATCGCGATCTTTGCATCGCGTGCCTTTTTAAAATCGCATTATTATTTTTGCAACGCCAAGTACATATCGTGCATGGAGCGTAACCTTAAGAGACAGCACATTCAGAGAATTCAAATTATACCAAACCGAGCCGTTACATTCTTGTTTTAAACATTGCATTGCAAAGGGACTCTTAAAGTTTTCGTTATTTATGATCGTCGTCGATATCAGGCTATAATTTAAAATGCAAATAACCCCCGCGTTTGTAGACTGTACGTAATACGCATTTAATTATTCCTAGCGTTATCAGATGTTGGATTAAAGCGGAGCATTATATGTGTCAGAAAATATCTCGTATAATTAGAATACGAATGCGATTAATGCTATCGTGTTTTAAACGCGAGTATAAGCCCACGAGCCAATATTGAATAAAGATAATCCTTTGCAATAAATCGCGACATTTTTATCGATTTTAGCTTTAGCATAAGAACAGCCTACTTTACATTACAGTATCGTTATAAAATATATCCATTAACATAATAAATTCCATAAAGTTCGTCGATGCAAAATTTCCATGTTTTTGAAATAATGAAATAATAATCAATTTTGAATTTGTATACTCGTTGTATATAAATTAGAATAAAATATTAGTGTATTATACGATTTTCGCGTATTAAATATTAAAAAATTAGGAGCGCCGCTCAACGTATTTACGGATTAAGCAATAAATTGATAAGTGCGATTTAACTCACGTATTTGGCTATTTTACTGTTGCAGTTTTGGTCCGCGTACGTGCCCTGCTCGTCGCAGCATCTCGACTCGGTCCAGCTGGCCCTGGAACAGATTGATCTCATTCGACGATTGGTCAACAAGCATTCGGACAGTATGGTTCTCGTTACCACAGCGGAAGGTTCGTACTTTTAACCACTCATTTACGAGCTCGCGAATGCGACGGTAAAATTAAGAATACATAAGACATTAGGAACGTTAAATGCATCGCGAGAATGAAGATTCGCCTCGCGATACATTTGGCGTACGGCCAGTTAGATTTCGACCTCAGCTGCGCTCGATACTTTGAACACTTTCGATTGAGTTCGCTCGGGGTCGTCGGCACTTCACCGCTCACAAAAATATGTGGGCGACGGTCCGCGGGAGAACTTTCGAAAGCCATCAATTTAAAATCCTCGCTATTTTTCAGTCGACAGAAAATTTATCCACCTCGAATTACAACGAATATTCCACTTAACCCTTTAATGCCGGCCATATTACTTGATAATCCGAGTTTCGCCCGGAGATTAATGTGTTACGCGGCGCTGGATCAATCTTGCATAATTGCTCGCTATATCAATCTACTCCCCTACCTCCCCTACCGACCCGGCTAATGTTTAAAGTTACAGAGACAAAGTCCACGGTATAACTCCCCTCGTCCGTGCAAACAGATTTTTAGATCCATCCTATGAAATTTTTTCCCCCGGCCGTTATCCGCATTCTGCACCGACCCTTTCCTGGTAATCTCCGTGTCTCGCATGTTTCGCATGTTGATGGATATTCGCGAAAATAAAAACATAACTGGAAAATGTCGTCCTCGGAAATGTGTCGTCTGCAGCACGTGTTTGCCGCGTACCCGGCGTCTGGAGCCAGCGAATCGCTACAGCATTAAATTTTCATTGTCGAATCGTGTTATCTATTTCCCGCTTCGACATGTTCGAGATCCCGTGACACTTGGAGGCAAGCGAGAAATCGTCATTTTCCATTCCGCGCTTCGTTCTCACATCCTCCCATCATCTTCGCTACAGATTCTTTCACTCAAAAATTTAGAATGCACTTTAGACTGCGAGGAAGAAGCGCTATCCGGGAAAACGAGCAATCGCTTTTCCAACGTAAGAAGCATCTTTCGACCTCGTCGAATCCATTTCAGGATGATCCGTCGAACAGTTGAGTTTTCCAGGCGATGTTACACTAAAGAATTGGAAAAAAACGAGAGTGTAATAAGATCGATCCGGGAGAAACGTTTCTCTCGCATCAGTTCTCCTCTATTTTTAAAAGCGAAATTCCCACACAGAGGATGAGAGTCTCTCACGCAGCACTGAACAAATTTATTGATTCCATAAAAAATCTGATGATGATCCAATACACTCGTATTGGTAAAAATGTAACATAGTATTTTGACGCTTTTCAAAAATTTCATTTACACGATGAAATTTGTATGCCACTTTGTTCCATATTCGTTACTGCCGCATCGCAACAACAAATCGTTATAACGTTTTCCATTTGTTTTTTAAAAGATTTGAATTTTTGATAGTAATATTGGCTTCTCTTTTGCAAAAAGATTAAACAAATATTATAGTTCACTGAGATTTCAATAAAAGTCAAAAAGATATACAGAAAAAAATTAAAAGATTAGAATATGGTTCATACACATTTTTATTTTAGAGATTTCACACATACCGTATGAATTGCCTCACTCTTGCGATAATTTATCAATAGCTCCATATACATTATTTATCAAAAAAGAAATTGCTTTAAAGATATTTACTGTTACATTTATTCTTATAACTGTAATAATCGTAATGTTTTGATATAACAAACATTATTCATGTCGAGATTTCGTAGATCCTCTTTCAAACAAAAATTGGTGAATCAATGAAAGAAATAACAGAAAAAGTCCAATACAACATGATAAATCTGCGACATCATAAAAAAAGAACAAGAAAAAGAACATTATTCCTGGTAAATAGCATTGCTTTATCGATTATCATATGCATTTCTAAGAAAAGACGGATTCGCGTTACAGAGAGAGTTTGATATTACGAGAAATAGTCATTACGCTTCTGTTTCTCCGCAAGCACTATATGAATAGAAATTACAGCCCCTGGGCAATGAAATGAATATTTCAACCAGACACGAACTTAAGCGATATTGACGTATCGCATTATATTAAATTTTTACGATATTTATTCAACGAAATCTCTGCGATAAAATTATTCGAAGAAGTTTAAAGCGAAGGAGATTGAAGCGCATTTTGCTAAGTATAGATTCGGGATTATCTGGTATATAGAAAATTTCATACAGATTCCTGAACTCTAATGGAATATGTCGTGTTTCTTTTTCGTTTTTTAATAAATAACATAAAATTCCTTCCATAGCTTTTCGCCACTACGGTTGCTATTGTTTCTCTCTTAACGTTCCGTTGCTTTCGATACTATTCCTCTATCCTTTTCCCTCTCTCTCTCTTTGTTATTTTTAATGCGTCTTATTTTGCGAGGATGTGTACACGTCAGACGAATTCCTAGAAAATTTCCTATATTTGGTGAGCAAATATTTGCTGCTGGATTTCGCCGTCCCGCTGTCACAATGCGCGCTGTCTAAGCGTAACGCAAATCCGATGGGAAGATGATAGAACACGAGGAAGATGCGCCGGATGGTAAATTCCGACTGGATTGGAAAAATGTCGGTCCGGCGCTGCCGACCGACGTGCTCCGTTCGATAACCCCGAATGTCGACGACTGCACGTCGCCGCGCCACGCCGCGCCGCGCCGTATCCATATGTAAATGAACATAAAATACGCATATGTACGTTCATACATACGGACAGCTGATTGTACCGAAACCGACAGCTCGTCCGCGTATTCTTCGCGTCGCGAATTTTTTCGCTGCTGATTAAAAAAGGCCAAGGTATCTCAGAGAAAGAGAATACAGACGCTCGCCGTAATTCTGCGACGTTGTTCTGCATTTTCGTCCGATATTTTCAAGTGTCGAATCTACCTCGAGGAATGACGTTTCTGGAGGAAAACAATTTTGCACGTACCGCCTATGATTTCGTGTACCTGTCTCGACGGAAAAAGAAGGTCGCGTTTAATTTTCGGAGCTGCATTTGCGTTTCCACAAAGAGAAAATCACGTACCTATACTTCACCGTACGCGCGCAATCTATTCTCGATTCATATTTTTCGAGGCATTACCTCCGCTTTACTGGCAGTGCGCGTTATGCGAGTGTTGATAGAAAGATAAACGATCGTATGTCACCGTAAAGCAAACCGCGTGCCCGTCTTTTTAAAAATATGCAAATTTCATGCACGTTACACACACGGTAGCGCGTTATCTCTCCCGGCTGGAAAAGGGGGGTCGCGCGAGGAGAGTTCGCGAGCGAGAAAGTACAAAATATAGCACTTTGGGGAAGCAATCTGCCAGATGGAAGAAAGGGCGCCGCTAGAACGCGGAAGATGAGAAATTCCACGAGGAATGGAAGAATGTTCCTGAAACCATGGAGCCCCGCCGCGCCGTAGCTCCTCCGATAATGTCGAAACGCTGGTCTTGGTATATACGTGCGCGGGCACGTACATACATTCGCATGCACTTCGTGCAGAATATATATACGTGCATATGTACGTGCAGAGACACCCGAACCGATACACTCGCAGGTTCAAATGTATCAGCGTTACGTGCGGGCGGGTGCAAAAGTATAAATCGCGGGACGCACTAAATCAGGGGACCATCGACAGCACGCGTTTTATTCGCGTCACTCCTTTTTCGTCCGTTCGTCCATTAGAGAAGCCGTAATACAACGTAATCGCCGACCACGTCAACGGGAAAAATTAAAGCCGCGACAAATGACGTTTTCGCTATGACGCACGCGATTTATTTCAGGAAATGCGAAAATGCGGTCGGAAGAAGTGCATCGTTAAGCTTTTTGCCGTTTACAAGTCGGGGTAGGAAAGGGACTCGTTGAGGGTCGAAAGAGTCGGCGCTAAAGCGATCTTGAATAGACACGTCAGAAGTTTTCGTATTGAAAGATGGCTTCCGCGATCTGTCTTCCTAAAACAGGATTATACATTTAAAAAGTATGCAAATTGTAGTACAGGCACTCTCCTACTTACGAACTTTCGTTTCACAAACTTTCGCGAGTATACGAACAAAATTATAATTCGTCAATGCCAGCGCTGTGAGTCGCTTGCATGAAAAAAAGATGTAGAACCATTTAATCTTGAAAGAATAATTCGTGCTTTTGTAATTTAAGCAAATATATTTTGTATGTTCTTTTTTAAATTTAAAATAGAATAATAATTTTAAGCTTTACAAACGACTTTAACCTAAAACTGGCGTGTCCTTAAATCGTAAAATTGAATTTATTTCCGAAAACTTTTTGTCCTATACAAAAGCTCTATCTGCATGAGCTCTTCAATTATCGATCGTTCGGCCGGCACGCGAGAGCGTAAGCGCACGTTGAACGTATTAAAAATATACACCGGTATACATCGTAACGATGCAACACAGGTCGTTATTATGTATTCCGGTTACTGCTTTTGTGATATTACCTCGCTGCGGAACGATATTTTTAGAAGCGCGATAATCCGCCGTCGGCGTCAAGTGTATTACTTCCACCTAGCTGCCGTGAATTCTTTGTAATTGGATGATAAATTACACCGCGCACTTTTTTCCCCTTTTATCGGACTCGTAAGCCACCATAAGCCGACATCGAAGTATCGCAGACGGCCAGTAAGAATTCGCATGGGGGGGAAAAAAAGCGTTATAAATATATATTCGCGCGTATCTATGCAATTTTACGCAAACGTATTGACAGCGAGACACTTCGCGGAGCCCCAACGCGTATCCAATAGGGTATTTTAATCAAATCCGCAAAACGCAGACCGCGAAATTGAATTTCCCGATACCGCCGACCAGATCTCGCGCCGCGCCGTCGAATTCGATTAAGCGATTAAATGTCGCAGATCGAATTCGCGGAACGCTGACAAAACGCCCGATTACCGACTGATTAAGAGCTCCGGCTCCGTAAGCCGAGCTTTTCTTCGATCGGCTTGGATTTCGGGCTTTGGGGCGTCGTACACCAATCACCGGGTTAATTAACTTTTATTTACACATTGTAATTAACGATCGTCGCGATGAGACATTCCCGATAATCACGGGCAATTTGAAAGATTTAATTAATCTGACGAGCGGAAACGTCGGATAAGCTCGCTTAATCATGATCCACGTGCATCGCACATTGTGCACGTAATTGAATTTTACACTCGCATCGTTCACGCTCGAATAGCGCAAAATAAAAGGGGAACATGGAAGTCGCGAAAAGATATTACGTTTAACTAAAGAATTTTTCTCCTCCGATGGCACTTTCGTCCCGGACACAATTCCGGAACGTACATAGGTACATACATACGTCCATCGGGAGCGCGCGTTTCGGCGCGACTTCGTCGTTGTTTTCCGATGTTGTGCAAAGAGAATTTGCAAACTTCGCAGATCCACTTACCATCGGTATTACTTATCGAAAGCACGGCCGGAACTTCGTAACGACGTTCCAGCCGTTATTAGATTCACATGTCATTCGCGTTACGTGCAAAAGCTCGCAAGAATAAGATTATTCCGCCGAGAAAAGTTAATGGACGATGCACGATTTTAGACGAAACGTAAAAGAACTTCTTTCCGCTTTTTTGTATATAATGCTAAACGGTCGCGAGGGTTAAAAGTGCATCATATGCGGGGTTTATCTGCCTGAGACACACGTCCGAAACATCTCCTCCACCTCCGAATTATCAGGATCACGTAATACAAATCTATCCTGTCAGAGCAAGAGTCCGTATAATGATGACGAGACTCAGCTCCAGATTCTCGCTATTACTAGTGAATAACGGCGACAGGAGGGAAGGGATAGCGCAAAGTAAGTTATAATACATGATTTCAGGTATCGAGAGGGCGCACAAAGAGGCTAGATTAGCGAGCCTAATAGGGGTCGAGGGGGGCCATGCTGTCGGAGCGAGTCTGGCGGTCCTGAGGATGCTGTACGAACTGGGCGCCAGGTATCTCACCCTCACGCACACGTGCAACACGCCTTGGTGAGTGTGCCAGCGCAGAAATAAGAGTGTCGGCGATTAGATTCTAAAACGATGCGCAATGGAGAAGCGAAAGCAAAACGCGTTACACGAACGACCGGCGTCCCGTTACACTCGTATCGCGCAAGCTACAATTTCGTTAGACTCCTTTAGAGTTATATGTACATAAAATCGAACTCCAAGTCAAGCTCAAACCCGTTTTATTCAAATCAAAGCGCCAAAAGCACTAAAAGCAATCTGATTAAGGCGAAAGATTGCTCGCTACCGCATGGCAACTTTCCAATGCTAAAACCGATCTATCGAAGCTCAAATATATTCCATTTTTCACAAATATCTTTGTAAGAATTCATCGTTAGAGCGTTACAAGATATCAGGAGCATGTATCTAGCGAACGAAAGAGAATCGTCGATGAAAATGCAACTTGCGCGCAGCGCAAAGTTTTCCCCGCTCCATCGCGGTCGGGATAAAAACTGAAATAAAAACGTATCACCCGATCTGCGTTGATGCGTAAATAGCGATTACAGTGTAGAATTTTATCGTCTGGCTAGGGAAAATGGGCCTTAAAGCCGCGCAATAACGCCGGTCATTGCGGCAGATGCAATCGCCGGTGCCTTTGCAGACAGGACCTTTCATCCGCGTTGCCCAGAGCAAAACACATGGCCGACGGTAGTAATTTCAAGCCGTACAGTTTCATTCATTTCCCGTGCATTAAAAGCTATCGCTTTGAACGCGAGCAGTAAAACGTTTAACGTAAACGGATTAAAGTTCCTATAATAGTTCGCGCGCGGACCGTAAGAGATCAACGGCATAACGTTACCGCGCTGTGCGTTTGGGCAGTAATCCGCAAAATTCACAGCATAGTTTTACGGTATTACCGTGGCCTTTCAAAGCTACGGCCGCATTGAAAAAAAAAAACGGTAATTGCAGTGTCGAAGGATCAGTTATACAGGTTGTTCGATTTTGTAGAGCATCTAATTCTTTATACTCCAAAAAATATTTCGGCTATTTCGTTAAATTTTAATTTTTATAAAATCAACCAAGCGATCTAACAATATGACATTTAAATCAATCTCATTGTAGAAAAAAATTCCGAAATCCTTATTTCTCAGAAAACACGAAAACCTGCGATGGCATTATTAATTCATTCACAGAAATATTCAATTATTATTTTGTTCTATTGCTTCTATATTAATGGCCAAAACTTTATCCAGCATTTAAATATGTGTCTACATAAAAAATTATATAAGATTTAGTAAAAAGGAAGATAAATGTTCAATATTTTAGGAGAAAAAAGTAACTTTGACCCTTCTTAAAATTTAATTATACAATATTATCCCAGTCCTCGGTAAAGTTTAAGTCTTTTCCCGCACGTCGAACTGTTTCGTTTCGCGGATAGGGAGAATAATGTCGAGCGGGGATGTGGGATTACGTGAAGATCGTGCGGCCCAGCTGGTGCCGCGGCAAACAGTGTCGAAATATTGCCATGCGACAAACAATGGACGCATTCGCGAGCGGCAGTGAACTTTTACGAGACGTCTCTCTACAGCTGCAAGACGAACGCGACAGAAAGCTTTTCGAACGAACTGATGTATCGCGGGAGTATCGTGCGTTTCGACGCGCCATTCTCTTACAAAGTGGAATGAGCTCCGATCGATCTGTCTCTCCCGGTTTCGGCTTCCGATTTTATAGCGTCGCGTTCTGTTTTACGACGTCGCGATGAAGAATCGTTGCTCTATTATAGATAAATTTGATCGCATTATCGGCGTTTATCGGCTGGAATGGATTTATGTTTTTCTTCCGAACTCTCTTTTCGCCACCTCATAAAGTTTCTCAATAAAGATTTTTTATCAAGACCGACTCGACAGAAATTTCTGGTTAATTAGTGCGATAGCAATATTTTGAAATTTCTATGTGACTTTCCCTGCAATTTAATACTGTTATTTACTGATTACATCCAGATTAAATTCACGCGTTTTCGTCTCACTCAATTAGGCAACATGTTCATTACATACTCGTTATGTTTGAAATTACCTGGGGGTAATTTAAACAAGAGGTACGGTTACGTAAAATATCACGTTTTAAAAGTTTCCTCAGCATTTTCGTATAACTAAAAGAATAAAAGAGAATTTTAGGCTATTTCGAGTAATACCTTCTTTATTACGCGACGTAATAAGAGACACGCAAGACGGCAATCAACGTGCTCAGTTTATTTCACGAGTATATTTAACCCGGTCTAAGGATACCTCCACGTTAATGAAAATACACGCAAAGCGCCGCATCGATAAAAATCATCAAACAATAGGAGCGTTGCCGGGCATTGCCGGGCGCGATTTATTTCCGCGGCGATTCGGTATGCGATGACTGCAGTTATATTTCACGCGTCCCTGCTTGCTCATCCGTTGCTTTGCAATTAAATCTCGCGTGTAACATGGTAAATCCCGCGCGGATTAATATATATTGTAACAATATTACACGCGTCCGTCGAACACCCGGTATTTTACGATAGATAGGGCGATTACGACGCACGGTCGAACAAAAATGCGGCGGACCCATTGTTGCTGTCGCGCCTCTCCAGGCGCGCGACCATAAATCCGCGAAATCGCGTTTGCGCGCGCGACAGGTGCCCGATCGTTGAGTCCCGCGCGATTAAGTTCGATACGGCGGGAATGTCCAACGACGGAACCGTGTACAGCTTCGATTGGCCACTCGAAGCGAACGAGAGGGAAAGCCGCGAGATTTAATGGCGCGTGTCCGTCGCCGTCGCCGTCGTCGTTCGCAATTAAATCCGCCGATGCGGCTAGAACTTGTGTAGCCGATCTCGATAGTCGAGTCGAGGATAGTAACGCGACGGCCGATTATGGCTCGGTTATCGATTATCGCTACCATTATTGCCACCGCATCATTGCTCTATTCGCGACGGCTTAAGAGGATACGGCGCTAATGCGCACGATTGTCAGCGTGGTATTACCTCGAGTCCTCGAGCTGACGCCTAAAGCACGTCGTACATCGCGCATAATCCCATCTACATAAGATATTTAACTCCCCTTCGCCTCCCCGACGACGGTTGTTATCGCGATTAGTTGTGTGCCCCGGGAGAATTGGAATGGCGGTTATGTGATATGTGGACTAAAAGACATGTATACCGAGAAAATTGACTTCTACAGAAAGCATTAGAGAAACTTATTTCTCCACGTTGACACGGAAACCGGTCGCTTTCTTTCGCATAAAAGCTATCCAATTCAACGGGACGCAATTTACTTGCGCGTTACGTGACAAGGTCCAATTATCAATATATCACGCTGCAGGAAAATACACTGTCGATCTTATCGATGGTCCAGAAAGAGATGTTTATAATTATGTACTTCAAAATAGAACCGTAAAATTTGCGGATTAATATAATCTATGTCGATTTTTATATCTAATAAAGCCGAAAGACGATGAAGTTTTTATAAAACTATGAATTACTCTCTTACAATTAGTCTATTCAGTTTTAAAATATCCGAAGACAGATAGCGTGTAAAATTTTTATCTAGTAGCCCGCGATCTGTCTACATGAAAATTTCTCTATTGTCTTTACTATAAAATTGGAAAGCTGAAGGTATCGGTAATGAGAACTAAGCTTAGGTTTACTTCGCAAAAGCATATATCGGGTCCAATAAACACCACTGTGTAATGCAAACTTAATGAAGTCGCGTACCAGAATATTCCCGAGATCATTTGAAATAGAAATGAGTTAGTTGCGGTATATGATTGCGAACTAGCCATTGTGGCTCGCCTCGAGCTACTGTCCTGTAACTGATTCTATTGCCGTATTATCGTTAGCATTACGGGGGCGTGGAAATCTATGATTAGAGGAAATTCTATCGCAATAACATTCACGATTGTAGCTACTGAGTTACTGACCTGTTGGTTCGTTAGGGCAGACTGCAGCACGGCGGACGAACCCGGTCAAGTGCCTCAAATCGGTGGTCTCTCGAATTTCGGCAAGGTGAGTAAGAAAAACATGCAAGCTCATATGTTAGCAAATTCTCATATTTGTGAAAACGTGAAAATCAATATCGAACAAGAATATATTGCATGAAAGATAATAATGTACTGTTATTCATATGATAATATTCGTAATATTCCATTTCTTCTGAATTCTTCGCGAAGTTGTGAGATTTTGCGGAAACCGCAAATGCATATTCCGATTATGGCATCGAGCACAATTTCACTATACGCGTTCCTCTATAAATCTATCACATTCTATAAAATTATTTTCGCAAAAATGTCATGCATCTCCCTTCGTCATACACGCGATGTAAAAAAAAGATTGCAACCAGTGCTATCAATCCCGCTTGCTATTATTTATGACGCAGCCATACGTAAAATGAAATTGGAAAAAAACAACATAGGTGTTCGCATATTGAAATGCAATACGATTTGATTGCGTTCCTTTTCGAAACAAATCTCTCGAAATTTTCCGGATTAACAGCTGTAAAGTTCGATTATGGTGTCAAACAGAATTAAAACGCACTTTCTGTCCGCTCTCTGCTCGTTGCGACAGAATGACCGATTTTGACCGCGTCAGCCATATTCCAACTGAGAGTTTAATCGTAAATCTGGTGTGCTCCGCGCCGCTTGTATCGACGTGTCGTCCATAAATATACGGATTTCAATGAGAATTTAAACGAAAAATGGTTTCACCAAAGTGGAACCGAAATGTTTTTGGTTCAATCGGAGATCCATCGGAAACTGTGATATCGGATTTATTGCTGCGGCGATTTCGCGGTAGATCTGTGCGTATGCACAAGAAAAGCTCACGTTATAACGCAGTAATAGCATCGAATCTTATGACCATTTTCTCGTTGCACCGCATATCTCGGTCGCAAGAATAATAAAGTTAATGTTAATGCGATATCTATTGGTGTCGTATTTTATACTCCGGATATCACTGTTCACTAATGGAACATTAGACAGAAACCGTCAGTAGTTTGACATTATACTCTTAATGGAATCATTATATATTCCTGTTACGTATTCCATATAATGAGCAAGTGATTATTCAATGTAACTGTCTTCAACGTTTCGACACTTTAAAAGTGTTTGTAAAACAAGCACTAAATTTCGGAAAACTCGATTTCGAGCAATCTACCCGATCAAGCTGATCCTCTGAAAACTACTAAAATGGATGGAGCATGTTTCGAAGTTCTACGGCACCATTGTTCGCTTACATGACGAAGGACGGTTAGTCCAACGGATTAGTGGTCGTTTCCAAATTTACTTCAACTCCCTGATACGCCGGCTCTGTCCATTACTGTTAGAGTAGCTACTTAACTTTTAATATGTAAATTTCATCGCCGAGAACTTTAAGAGCATTATATCTTTCTCTTCATAAAGGCTGAGGGATATTTTGCGAGAGATATATTTTGAATAACTCGAGTTTATTAAAACACTTTACAAGATACACCGGAGAAAATATTTTACGAGAATTCTGCATTTTCACAAGCAGCGAAATACGCTCTCTCGAGAAAATCGTACGGTGATTAAAACAGTGGTGACTTTGACGACTAATTGCGCGAGTGGGTAATATAATATCCCGTGTTAGTTTGAGGGTTAACTTCGCGCTACCAGTCCATTCGTAAACGATGACGCCATTCCTAGGCAATCACTTAAGAGCAATGCCGCCTCTCACCTTTCAAGGATATATCTTCCGCTTGTCAAACTTTAAGTTTCTCGCGAAAGTGTCACGTAGAAGGGTCGTTGCGAAACTTCACGCTAGGGAATAGTATGAGCAACAGGGATGTCACTCGACAGTCTTCATCGATTTGGATGAGCTTAGGAAACAGCAACAATAAACTTTCCTCAGCCATTTCCAAGTTACGAAATTGCCGTAATTGATCCAGTTCCATTTGTGCCATTAACGTTGTTTCCGAGTGGCTCATTGAATTTATTTCGATTATCGAAAAGCGAACTGAATTCACTGGTAAATTGGCATTATAGGCTCTCTCGCGATAGAACGAACGAAGAAAGCGCGCTATAAGTTTCTCGAATCGTTTTTTTATATTTTTATATCCGTAATTAATTCAATATCCATTTTAACTCGCTCGAAGTACTTTCACGCTGGTTTCCAATTAATCGATTTCTACGTAGTCTTAATCACCGTAGATGTTCCGTAACAGAAATTTTGATTGTGTTTGCGACAGTGGTATGGTTAAGTCCTTGCCGATCAAGGAGGAATTGAATTTGCACCACGGTGATGCTTCGAGCTGTTAGTTGCACGCTCAAACAAACCTCTAAGAACTTTATCGCCGTGAGTGCGGGGAACTACCCAAGATCTTGTTCCATTATCGATAGGACTACGTTAGGAACAATGTTTAATGAAATCGTAACGTTTGTGCGAGATCTTTCTTTCACTTCTGATTAACTTTAAAAACTTTACGCATATATTTCATATATAAATTTATTGTCGAGCTTTGTATTCAAACAGTACACTCTTTCATATTTTCTACGAAGCAGAATTAACTGCTTTAATTGTTTAAAATTAAACTTGCTGCTTAATTCACGGCATACGTCTACGGCATGTCTACGGAGATAAAATACGCGTCACTCGTCGCAAACAGCGGCGAAGGAATTTTCTCAAGTTCTTCCCGCAAAAAGATGCACTTGCTATCTCATTCATATTTTATGTGTAAAGTAACGCCAGTCTTTCCCATTGCGCGTTTATTCATCCGTACTGACGGATATCATCCGTCGTTCTTCAATGCGCGGCAAATGGTCAGGAGCAGGAAATAGAAAGCAGGAGAGAAAGTCGTAGACGATCCCAAGGGCGTTTTTCGACGGCCGAAGACGCATGCGAATGACTTTAGGGATGTGGTACAAGTGTAAACCAACCGCGGACGTAGAAATTGCTCAAATATTCAGTGAAAATGGCGCGACGGTGCACCGACCCTTATCCTTTTGGGACAAAGAGAGATTTATCGTGTCTTCATCGCGTCTAACTCGATACAAACGCGCGTCAAGACGTAAGTAAAATCTCGCTTAAGATCTGCATGATAATTTTCGTTTTATAATGGCTGAAAACTGTGAACTAGAAGATAGATCTATTAAATCTAAAGTAGATAGGGCTAAAGAGATTACTGTGCGAGTGTGACATACCAAAAGGTATACCAAGATATTATATATTTTTCCATTTTTCCCGGTCTTTGCCTTTTAGATTTGCAACACGCTATGCAGCATAGATTGCATTTAGTCCAAATTGTCGGAAACGAAAACAAACGGGATTGCTAACCGTGACAGATGTTGCGATTACGTAACACACATACTCTTTGGTTGACTCCTTTGCAATGAGCATTTCGTGTCACGTTCTCATGGTACTTTAACAGTATTCTGTAGATTCGCATCTTATTCCACGTGCGGAACGTAAGGTGGAAAATCCCGGATTCTGGTAGGCGGTACCGCGGACGTGCACGATTAAAAATTCATAGAAAATCTTCGAGTCGGTACGATTTTACGGAATCTTGGATTTACTTGAACTTCCAGAAAAGTTCAATTGCATTAGTCCAATTGTATCGCTATGAAAATCGGTTTCGTGCGCCAAAACTTCCTTGATCGCTCAGAGACCATTTCGGTGTACAAATAAATTATTAAAAAAAATATATCCGTTATTTTTTTACGAGTCGAAATACCTTGAACTTCTGCAGGTATCATAATATTGCAAAATTGAATAGTTTCCTGGAATCTCTTACAAATACCACAAAATTACCATGACATTGTCTGGGTACTCAAGTGAATTATAACGCCCCATTAAAAGGGTTAAAGTAGAATTGCGTGTAACTTTTTTCTCGCGGTTTGCGGCTCGAGTTTACAGTTATTAATGCGAGTGAAAGGAAACGTTAACCGTGACGAATCCCCCTTTGTTCCTAAAAAGCCCGCCACTTCTAACGGCCAAAGCCACTTTCGTCCATTCGGGAAAATACCAACGACGTGCTTCCCAGACGTTCGTCGAGAGCCGCAGCGTATTTTCGCGGCGCAGAGGAATAGGGGGAGGGGGCACGCAACTGCAACTGAAACGGAGCACTTCCGTCGACGTGCGGAATTTACATCGCTCGCATATTCGTAGGCGAGTTAACGCGACTCGTCGTTGTCGTTGTCGTCGTCGTCGTCATCGTCGTTGTGTCGGTGGTTCTCGCTTTCGCCAGTAAAACAAGACGAGTACGATGCGTTTTAACGGCTGTGGCGATAACGTAGAACGGAGTAGAACCGTGCGCCAAACTGTAGTAGAACGCATTTCAATAGCGAATTTTTTTCAGGAAAAAAACGAGAAATGCGAAACTTTGATTGCTCCGTGACTAAATGCAAAATACATTGATATTTGTTGATGCAATATTATAGACGTCAACGAAAAGACTTCGTTATAGAATAAGGTTTTTAATTAAAACAAGGAAAATTAATTAGAAGAAACCTCCACTTTCGCTAAGAAAAATGTATAAAATTGTAGATATATTTTTAGAAAAAGGTTATATTAAATTTTTGCGCGAACTTTTTCATAAAATTTCATTTAACTACGACTTTTTGGATTACTTATTTTGCGACTAAAAAGGAAGATCACGGCTGCGGCCAGCGTTGTTCGGACGAGTTTTTGCTGAGTTGTATTCGTGGTATTCTTGAAGAAAATATGCAAACGGCCGTCACGACGTCTCCTTTATTTTCGAGATATTTGCAATTCAAAGTTTGCAATTAACTTTCGCATCAACTTATAACCAAATATGAACTATATACATTCTTATCATTGTCAAATATCTTCTTAAACAACAGTGATAACGATTACTTCAAGTGACCTGGAGATACATATACCTATATATAATTTTGTAACGCTTCAAATCCAATAATATCTCTAAACTATTTTGTAGCATCACCAACAAACAATATAACGTCGTAACTCACGTTCCGCGTCCAATATCGACGCGACATCAACGAGATGGAGGAATTTCGAGACGAAAATTCTTG